CCCCCCCCCCCAAGGAGCTCACGGTACCAGGCCTACTTCTCCTCTTTCCACCACCACTTTATCCCCACAACAGCCCTGCAAGACAGATTAGGTAGTGAGAACGAGCAACTGGCTCAAGGTCACTCAGCATGTCCATGGCTGAGTAGGGATTCAACAGCAGCCCAACACACCGATCGCAAGCCATCTCTCTTCAGATCCAGCACCCTGGACAGCAGCCTAGTCCTACCTCGGGTTCCAGCTTGGCCTGGACCAATGAGAAGCAGCCCATCAGGAGACGTTCTGCCGGACACCTCCATGGCAAAGTAGATCTTCTGGGTGCTCCCTTCGACCAGAACCAGCATCAGGTCCTTGACGTCAGTGGATGGAGGCCCTTGTAACTCCACATACTCAAACTCCCCGGGGGAAGACACTACATTGACCTCACTGATCAGCAAGGTGGACGCATTCAGCTGTGCAAAAGGCACACAGTGGTTCTCCGAGCCAGGGGTCGGTGTCGCCACTTGGAAAAACCAGTGCGAATCCCTCCCTTGGCATCTTTCCAGAGACTCGTCTGAGGTCCTGAAGAGCGGGTCCTCCAAGTAAGGCTCTATGCCAGGAGTCAGAATACGGACCAAGTCATCCGCTCGGTCACTGTTTTTCGATTTATGGACCAAGGCATCCACCAGGCTCTCATTGGTGACCATCATGTTTTCATAGAAGGGTCCCCTCCCAAAATACACAGCAATTGCATCTGGCCCATTCTGGATTGTGTTCTTAGGCAGGATCACCGATGGCCGGGGCATGACCGCGGAGGACCCAACGAGGAAGAACCCTTGGCTATCGGTGGAAAAGCCCGCGAGGTCCTTAACTCTGTAGGCTCTGTTGCCGTTGCCGTTGTAAAAAACCAAGTGGTAGCCATCAAGAGGAGTCTGCCGGCCACTAGTGTGATACAACTCCACGTACTCGGAGGTATCGTCCCCTGGATTATCTGCGTTGACCTCACTGATGAGGAGCAAATGCTCCGTCTTCTCTTTCTTGGGACTCTTGATGAGGTTCTGAGAGGCCACCTCACACAGCAACACAGACACAAGCCATACAGCTGTAGTTAGCTGGACGGGACCCATGACCACAGAGCCTAAAAGCTTCCTGGAGAGCTGAAGGACAAGAGACAGCTCACACAGGGAACTGCGTAGGATGGGGCAGAAGACCTCTGGATTTGGCAGCAGGCAGGGAGTCAGTTCAGGAATGCTACATCCTCGTCATAACCAACAGAGGGTGCAGATGTCTTTGATCCAAGATAGAGAGAACGGGACATGTTGCTCAGCTGGAATCGGACATATGAAGGTCATGAGGCAGCAATGGCGCCTAGGACTTGCTCAGATCTTGGCCTGGGGACTGATTCAGGAATGCTACATCCTCGTCATAACCAACAGAGGGTGCAGATGTCTTTGATCCAAGATAGAGAGAACGGGACATGTTGCTCAGCTGGAATCGGACATATGAAGGTCATGAGGCAGCAATGGCGCCTAGGACTTGCTCAGATCTTGGCCTGGGGACTGGAAAAAAAAACAAACAATAAAAGGAGACATACGTTGTGAAGTAGTTGTCCCAAACTGATAAATTATGCTGATGCGAGAGAGATGTGAAATCCGCAACACACACTTTAACACGTTAATTCAGCATTAATCTGGAGCGTGGAAGATATCAAGGGGTCCTTCTAGTCCAGGGGTGTTAAACATACAGTCCGTGGGCTGGATCCGGCCCCTGCAAGGTTGCAATCTGACCCAAGAACGACTGACTCTATGCTGCTTCCTGCTTCTAACATCGCAGCTCCTTCCCCCCCAGTCTCTCCTATTTCCTGCTTCAGAGGAGAGAAAGCAAGCCTTCCCTCCATTG